AGCTCTTCTGGATAGGTTTGAGGTTTTGACTCCTTAGAAAGCCGGTGCCTCGAAAAGGAAGTGACTCAAAGAAACCGAGCCTCAGCGAGCCTGTTCGTGATGCATTAAAGCTTTTTTTTTGTGTCTCCTCACCGCAACATGATTCCTGCTGAATGAGGCGATTATATCTTGTGTTATGTTCTTTTTTGAGTGACTAAGTTGAATAAAAAAGAACATCAATCTGTGAGCAGCTGGATTAGTTTCTACAGGATTTTCTTTTCTTTCTTCGCCCTGTCAGCGAGCTCATGGTGGATAAATGTTCGACCTTTTAAAGCCATAAAAACAAAGAGAGTACGATCCTGACCTGCTCTTTTTGTTCACTTGTTTTGAATTGTAGCTTCGCAAATAAAAATGGATTATTTGAAGAATTCCTCATCCATCAAATTCTGTTTAGATCAACTCAAGCTGCTTCTGACTCTTTTCACTAGTTTGTTATTTTCCACTCAGACTGTGAGAATACATCCAGTTACAAACAGCCTCAACATAAAAGCTTAAACTGTCATCGTAGAGCTCAACATTGATTTTTTTTGGGCAAATCTTGTTTGGGAAGTAAATTTCCTCATTCATATCCTCCATTGACATTTTTAAAAGTTCTCATATTAAGAGATTGAAACGTGGAACCAGGACAACCAGCTACCCCAACAGTCTCCACTAAACAACATTTGATTAGGCACAAAAAAATTTGAAAACAGAGAAAAAGTTAAAAGTGTTTATTCTGTTAATACAAGTGTGTAATATATCTTGTTTGTGTTGTGTGAATAAATAAATTACATTCACTGCGTCAGAACACGGCTATTAGCACGATTCAGAACTGTCCGTTGGCATACAGCGCTGGGTAGCGAGAAGCATTTCCATGGTAACAGAGAGCTCCACCAATCAGAGAAGTTGAATGATCTTGTGTAGTGTAGTTCTTTTTCCTGATATCGTGAATAAACCATGTTTTTCTTAAATTGAGGTTGATATCATATGAGCGTCGTTTCACACACAAAGGTGGCTTGTAGTAAGTCGACCATGGATGATTGTGACATTATGGCTAATAATCCACTATGGAGAGAACGCAGGGGATTTTTACTTAAGGACTTATACTGTTGAGCTCTGTAGTGTTGGACACAGTTACTTTGTCTGCGAGCTTCTCGTTTGTTCTTTTACATCAGGTCCTCTCCCTGAGATTCTCCTCTCCCGTCTAACGGGGAAAGTCTCCTGCTGTGAGCTGCAATGTGTGAACACACAAAGCAGGAACATTTCAGGGGGAGCCTATCCTGAAACTTTCTAGAGTTCTTCCAGAGTGCATGTGTTTACAAAGTGCTCGTGTCTGAGTCAGGTAGCTGCTGTCACACCTGTCTGCCTCTACAGGTCCAGACTGTCACATGACATCACCCCCCCCCCCCCCATACCTCAACCGCCGCCATTAAAGGTGCTGACAGCTCTGTGACGTCTCCATGACTGCATCATTTTCAGTCAGACATATTGGTGTGTGTGTGTGTGTGTGTGTGATATGTTGTGTGTTATTCCTGACTCATGTCTTTCTGCAGCAGGAGGAAAAAGTGAATGAAAAGCCTTCTGTCAGTCAGTTTAACGGTCGCTCTCTGGCTCACACTTGTTGTTTGGAGACACGGTGACAGTTGGTAACCACTTGGCTTGTAAATGACCTCTGGGGTCGGTCACTGTTTAACTGGATCTGAATGACTGTGGAGGTTTTGTCAAAAGGACTTTGCACCATGCGGCGTGCGTTTCCGTCTCTGCTGCTTTAACGGTCGTTCTGTTTTGTTTGGCGGGCGCCCGAAAGTTTAAGGTGTGTTTTATTTGCTTCGGTTTACGCCCACTCATTAACATCCAGTGCTGGAAAGTTATCAGTCAAGGAGGTTTTTTAGTTTCCTTTTTTTAAATTTAAACACTTTTAAACACTTCAGTCTGTTACAGCTGCAGGTCTGCTGCCAGCTGGATTTGAATCGACATGTTGCAACCAATCCGAACTGTAACATGACGCCATCTGTGCTCTGATTGGTGCTTTTCAAACATCCTGTGAGAGAGCAGGTAATGGATGACGTGCACATGTAAAGGTTGTTTCTCTCGTACAAGTGAAAACATTTTCAGAATCCAATACTTAGATACTTTTTATTCCTCCTCTCAGATCTTCAGTCATATTTTTAAACCCGACGCTGCTGCAAGAGAAAGAGAGAGAGCAGCAGCGGTGGTGGATTCAAGTTCAAAGGTTGCTACATCCTTTTGCTTCTCAAGTCCTTTTGGCGCCTCATAAAGATGAGAGTTTATTTATCTTACAAACAGACAAACAAACAGAGAGCAGAGGAGGCGAGCCAAACGTTGCCAATGTGTGTTTGTTTTTTTGCCTTCAATATTCAGGAATTAAAAATCAGAAATTATCTTTTTTGGAAGCTTAGGGCTTGGATTTTTACTGACTTGGTATCGAAACAGGTATCAACATGAGTGATATGTTTTTATATTCATGTTAGATGTTGGCTAGTATTGTATTAAAATTAAAAATCTGGTATCGTGACTTCAGCTCTTCAGTCATAATTTTAATCCAAAACTGCCACAAACAAAAATGGGCGAGAGCAGCGGTGGTCCATTCAAATTTAAGTCCTTCTTGCGTTCTCATAAAGATGCAAAAGTCACGTTCATGTCTCTTACAAACTGGGAACAAAAGTAGTGACACTGTCTCAGTTGCATAAAGACGTTGGCAACACATTTGTGCAGAATTTAACCTCAGATTTTTGGTGATTAAAAAACAAGAAACTACCCAAAACTGGAGCTTAGGAGTTCTGCTTTTGTTGCCCTGGTATCAAACATGTGTTGGCATTGTTAGATTTTTACTAGAATCATATCTAAAGTTTAAAATTCTGGTTCATGACACACCTAGTCTCTTATTAAAACAATAAGTTTGGGACTCCTCTGCAGACTCTTATATGTAATTTTGCTGCATTTTTAAACTGGTATGCCCAGACTCATGCCAAACTGCAGCCTGTTTCCAAATGCACAGCAGAAGTTACTGTTCCTGAGGGGAGAGGCCCGGGCTTGAGGCTGTTCTCTTATATCTCAATAATGAGTATAAATAAATCAGTCGGTGCTAAAAGTTGGCAGGGAAACGGCTGTATAATCAGATCATGACATGCAAACCTTGACAGTGTGGTAACAGACAGCTCCCTGGAGGGTTTGCTTGTGTGTGTGTGTGTGTGTGTGTGTGTGTGTGTGCGTGGGAGAGCGGGAGAGCGGGGAGAGACTGGACAATGGTCGATATGTGCGCGTGTGCTTCCCTCCTCCTCATTGAATCATCTCGCTCTTACGTTGGACCAAAAACTCAGTTCCCGATCTGCACATTTCTCGACCTTCTCTTTCCTTGTGAGTCAGCAGGAATGTGAGGAATGACCCGTACGAGGCCTGGCGCTTTCCCACCCTGCTTCTCATCTGCCCATTTTTAGGCATACACAACTCCAGCTTCTCTTCCCACTTTTTCACCATGTCATCCTTTCTCCCTGTTAACCGCTTTCCTTCCCCCCCCCCTCTTATTCTTCTACCTCCTTCCTCGTATATTTTCCTTCCTCTCAGCGAGCACTTTCTCCTCGCTGGCTCGTTATTTTCAGTCAGCTCAGCACTTAAATTTCCACAAATTACAGCATATAGGAGAGCCCCTCTGAGCTCGTGCAGCTCGGCCTGCATATTTTTGTCAAACCACAGCGAGACCTCAAAACCGCCGGCCCTGAGACCCCCCCCTCCTCTGATCCTCGTCATCCTCCTCTGGGCCCAGCAGGGGGGGCACATCAACCCCTTTTCTCATCCCATCAGGGTGTAAAGGCTCACATCCAGCTCCTTTTTAGAAGAAACCAGTTGGCGTGCAAAGGTTTGTGTCTGGACTCTGCAGGTTTTAACTTGGTGCAGCAGGAAAACCTTAAAGTGTGTGTTTGTGCGCCGTGAAGTGAATCCCCCAAAATCCTGCCAGAGGAGCCGCTCATCTCTGCATGTGCTGACAGGCTCCCGCTGTCGACCAAAAGAGAGATCTGTCTCTTATTATTCGACAGGAGAGGGCTCCCCCTGCCCGCCCGCGCTCACATGAAAGCGTCCAGCTTGCAGACACCTTTAACTACTCCTCTGCTTGAAAAAATAAACTCTTTCACTAATAGTTCTCAGAGCGATGACATGGCTCGCTGAGTGTCGTAAAGTGAGCCTCTTCAACATGCGAGTCTCCGGGGGGGCCTCCCTGCAGCCTGGCTACTGTTCAACCTACATGAATTACAGCCAGAGAAGAAGAAGAAGACACCTGTCCGATAAGTCGACCTTTATTCTTCCTTACAAGCACCATGCTGTTAAAAGCGTGCCTGTTTCTCCTCCTCTGCACCGCGCTCAGGTGCTCCATGTCGTTTCACATCAGTGATGTCAGATCACCTGTCATCACCAATCTATAAGCCGTCCGTCTGCCCTGCTGACCCGCTAACTCCCTGCTACACATCAGGAACCAGGCCAGGGCGGGACGTCACTCACCTGATGTTACTTTAGGTATCGGCTCCAGCAGCTGTATGGGATTCAATTTACAAACTGCATTTAAGGGCTCACACTAATGCTAACATGTCAACTTCCTGGTATGGTTGTAAAACTTTATGATACTTTTCTGTATCAGGTGTTTTAAAACAATGCAATCTCCGGATTTATTATGATTGAAGGTGTTAAAAAGATAAGATAAAAAAAAAAAACTACAGATCAGCTCACAGGTCAGCTAATAGAGATGTTTCTCCAGTTCCTTTTGTCGTCTCATGAAGACACAAAAGTTACATTTATGTCTCAAACAAACTGACTCAATTTCGAAAAAATACACTGGCAACGTCTTGCAAATGTTGGTATTTGAAAACAAGAAATAAACAATATTAGGTGCTTAGGACTTTTATTTTTTTGCTATGGTAAACAGGTATCTATTGCATTTTTTTGTATCATATCAAAGTTTGTAGGTGAGGATGAGGAGTGGATACGCGAGGGGAGCCAGTGGAGGTTATGAAGGACGGGGGATGATGTGGTCTCGTGTGAGAATATGTAGTGAAATAGTGGAGATATTTTTAGTCTAGATCAGAGCAGTTGACTGACAGAGCAGCAGGAAGGTTTGCCAACATTTCTAGCTGCTCACAGGGTTTAATAAAAAAAAACCTTTTTCTTGTACATGCTGTAAAAAAACAAAAACGAGTTGTTTAATGATAAAAAAAGTTAGTGTCTGGATTGCCTTTTTAGGCAGTTGACCAATTTTTGGATAAGTTGAGATGATAACGTTCACATGGAATCTTTTACTAACATGCTTAACTTGTATTTATTAGTTGTTTTAGTCAACACAGTGTGTTTCCTTTTATCGTATAGTCGACCCTGTAAGCTTCATCCACCACTTCTGCGTCATGTCTTCCCTTAAAGGCTTTACATGCGATTTTTTGATCCAGCAGATGTCGCCCTTGAGCACCAGCATGAAACCAAAACAACTCGCGCTGCATTGTTGTGTTAGCATGCTAATGCTAGCGATCTTTATTATGCTGGTATCTTCACACTGCATGTAAATTTACCTGAAATGAGCGTGATCTAGAAACACAGTTAAGCAGTGAGTACAGTATGTTATTCTTCTGTTCTCTAGTCCCTCAATTAAACAACTTTTATACACGAGGGGAGGAGTCAGCCGGCCGTCCTGGCGATGTAAACAAACTGAAGATAGGACTCTGAAAACATCACAGACAGTGGGACTCGGGTGTTACACCCATTGTAGACAGTCATGACTCACAGAGTTATTTTCAGAGGAGATACTTGATTTATATTATATTTAAGTGTGAAAAATCACATATAAAGTCTTTAAGGGGACCACTGTGACCTTTTGGTTTTACAGTGAAGGTCGGTTCCTAAACTTTCTTTTGGGACGTCTGTGTTTGTGTGTTTGGTGAGTTTGGCTCACAGTCGGCCCCTTCTTATAAACAAGTGCATTATTGTCCTTGTTTGACGGGGTTAATTACAGGGAGCAGAGAGGACGACAGTGACTGACGGAGGTTCGAGCTACAGCTGCACGCTGCTTACCCTGTACTTCTGCAGACTCACCGCCTTCACTTGATCGAGGACATGGAGGCGGCTCTGGCAAGCAAGAGGTTTAGGCCAACACGGCTGAAACAGCAGGAGGACAAGGAGAACCACCACAGGTAAAAACACACACACAAACTCAAAGCCTTTTCACACATGCACAAAACTCCTGAACATTTTCTTTTGGGTTGAACTGCAAGTGTGAACGCAAACTGCTAGATTTCCAACCTGAATCATCCAGTTTTTCCTGCCAGCCCCAAGTTTTACATTTCCACAAGAAGTCGGGGTGAGACAATGTTTGAATGCAGCAGCAAATATATTTGTGGAAATTCACCCAGTACAAGTGGGCGGAGTCATGTTGCTTATATCCTGCAACAGGTGCACAACCAGTTGGATATCCGTGCAGGTAATGAAAGGCCTTCATGCTCTTTTTGCTCTCCAGTGTGTTTTTTTTCCACTCATTAGTTGATACTGTGAATGCGGTCCATTGTACAATTCTACAATTCATAACACAAGCAAGGATCTAGAAAAAAGGGAACAATGTCAGTAAGAGCAAACGATCAGCTTTGAGTCTGATTGGACACACAGGTGCTGACAGGAAGTGACCAGAGGCAAAGCACAACATTGAGGGCAGTTCTTGAGAGCTCTAATCAGTATAGAAACCATCTTATAAGTCGTCATTATAAACAAAAACCATCGTCATTACCATCATCATCATCAATAATATGGAGACCATCATCATTAAGTTAGTAGGTATTCATGAAAGAGCTGGGTCTTTAGCTTTTTCTTAAAGGTGCAGAGGGACTCTGCAGATCAAATGGAGTTTCCATTCACACAAAAAGTTTATATAAAGACAAAGTGTGTGAACTCTGCTGAACTCTGTGACGTTGTCCATCTTATTGGATTTGTGAGTCCTGAGTCCTACCCCCCTTTAGACAGAACAAATCTCCCTCTGTTAGGGGCTTGTGTGAAAGAGCTCCTCAGGGAGATTTCAGAGGCAGTCACTCCTGAAATCGTCAAGACATTTTCTTGAGTGCATGTGTGAAACTGGTCGCTGGTCACACGGGTCCAGGTGAGCTGGAGAAGCTGAGAACTAGTCACTAACCCAGACGCAGCATTCGTCACCTCCAGTGGGAAAATATGAGAGACGTCTGGAAAAGTGAAGTCAGGAAGATGGAAGGGGACAGAAACCGCAGCAGCAGACGTTTCCATTGTGTTAGGACGTCTCAAAATTCATACTTAATACGACTACAGCTCATGAATGTCTCTGCTGATGTCGTCAAGTTACCTCACTGTCAGCATTAAAATACTGAGAGTCTCTTTTGTTTATCTTCTGCCATTTTCACACATGCACTTCTTAAAAGGTCTAAAATATCAGGACAGGCTGACCCTAAAGTCTTCTTAAGTTCTCCTTTCACAGTCCCTCACTGCGGGAGATTTTCCCCGTCTGAAGGGGGGGAGGGGGGGGTCTCAGAAAGCAGGACTGGTTAACGCTGCAGGAAGTCACAGTGTCATGTGTACAGGCTCTCTTTTCATTGTCAAACATGGGAGGTGCATTGTGGGATTTTGACACAAGAAATTAGTCATGAGACAAACATCTGTATCGGCAATCGGCTAAATTGTTATTTCAAACATCAGTATCATCAGCCTTGATTTTCCTAATCGGTGCATCTCTAATTTTTGACCTTAATGAGGCAAGAGAAGCTTCCGCTGTTTGCCGATCAGCATCAAACAAAATCTTTTTTGTTTGATGCTGTTTTTTGCAAAATATCTTGAAAACACATCAGGAAAAATCACTACAAAAATATGGGAAGTGAAAATGCTGTCACAGGTGTTTATTTTTTAAAAATTAAATATTTTACTTTTTTTATTTCTTTACGACAAAAGTTTGTTAGTAGAAATAATAGAAATACAGTTGTTTAGATTTTTTATTTTATTTTATTTATTTATTTGTATTGGTGATAAGGTGAACAAAATGAAACAAGAATACATAGACATGACAACAGGTGTTTATTACTGTCAGTTTATCTTTGGACTGAAGCTGAGCAGCGCTTGAACCCCTCTGGGTGTCTGTTCCTCTCTCTGTCACTATAAAGACCAGAGGACAGGTCTAATGATTTCCATTCACTGCAGCTCTCAGACGCCTCGAGTTACAATAACAAAGGAGGCGCCTCACTGCGGCTGCTAAAGAAGCATACCTACTGTAGAGAGTACACACGTGCTGTCGGACGCACACGCTCTGAAGCCGTCTGAACGTTGCATTATCCCGTGCCTCTCTTGAGGAATGTGAACTATTCCGCTCAGACGTGCCACACTTCCTTTAAAGCGTCCGTAATGAGAGAGAAGTATGAGTAATAGAAACCGACATAAAAGCGTGCCGTGAAATGGAGAAAATGAGGCAGAAAGGAGAACGGCCCTCTTTCAGATGTGTCACTTCTGTCTCATCTGTTCCAGCAGAGTTGGACTTTTTCTGCACTTAATTTATATTTCTTCTAAGCGGCAACTTCTGGTGTCAGATAGTGAATTCAAAGAGGAGAAATCCATCCAACCATCCATCATCTATACTGCTTATTCCCATTCCGGGGTCACGGGGGGGTGGAGCCCGATCCCAGCTGTCATTGGGGCGAGAGGCGGGGTTACACCCTGTACTGTTCACCGGTCAATCAAAGGACAGACATATAGAGACAGACAACCAGCCACACTCACATTCACACCTACGGGCTCAATGAGGAGAAAGCTGGTGCATTTGCATAACTGTGGGCGTGGCTAAATTGACTGACAGATGGACGGAAAGCTCAAGGATCCACCTCTTAGTCTTTTTCTAGATCAATAAAAAAAAAAAGTAGAGTTGACATTTCCAGCACGGCGACCAACGTTACCAACCAATAGGTGAATTCACCGAGACTACATCCGACCAGTCAATTATTTTGAGTCATTTTTATTGGATAGGATAGCGATAGAGACACAGGAAATGTGGGGGAGAGAAAGATGTGGGGCGACAGTGTCAGCTCCTGGAGTCGACCCTGCGACCTGTGTGATAAGCAGTGTAGCCTCTTCTCTACCGACTTCCTCTCCCCACAGAAAGCTGATATCTTGAGAGTTGTCTTCCCGTGTCTTTCACACACACACAGCGGAATTTAAAGATTGTTGTTTTAAGATACTATGATATGAAGTTGGTAACACTTATTCTGTCTCTTTTCAAGGTCGGACACCAGCGACAACTTGGACGTGCTGTCACACAAACTGAAGTCCATTCACGACGTTGATGAGCTCACAAAAATGGTGAGTATGACTGCCATCGAGTCATGATGTATTATGACAACCCATTCTTCTCATGTGTGCGCTGACTTTTATTTTTTTTTGCTTGTTTGCTTGAAGCTCCGTGCTGCCAGCGAGTACGAGGAGAGGAAGATGATCCGAGCAGCCATCCGACAAATCCGAGAAGAGCAGCCGCAAGGTGAGCGCAGCTGTTTGACTGAACGGAGCCAGACGGAGGTGCTAGAGTACAAAAAAACTGCAGTTTTCTACAGTCAATAATTACATCTTAATGATTATGTTGCACATTTTACTAACTGTGAAGAACCCTGGGAATGCATATAATTACTGTTTGTGCATGCATGATTAATGTGGAAGAGATGGGGGTCAGTCTGTGGCTGCTGTAGATCTACCTGCTGATGCTGGATCAGACGGTGGATTCCTGTCATTCCTTTGCACTGTCTCGCTCCGTGTGAGGCCTCTGTCACTCTGAAACCCTCAGACTGTCCCACCTCCTCACACGGAGCCACGTCAGGATACCTTCAGGACATATTATCTCTGACATCTTGGCTTGTGTCCCATCTGTGTTTTGTCTCAGACATCAGATGGGATAATGAGTCACTTTCTTCCTTCTGAATTTTGCACTGATGTCTGTGTGTCTGTGTCTGTGTGTGTGTCTGTGTGTGTCTGTGTGTGTCTGTGTGTGTGTGTGTGTGTGTGTGTGTGTGTGTGTGTGTGTGTGTGTTTTTAGGTCCTGCAGAGTGCGGGAAAGCTCCTGGACGTTGCCTGGAGCCTGAGAATGTGGAGCCCCAGAGCACCATGGGAACTGGGGTGAGTACAGCACTTAATTAGAGCTAAAGAGCGGTGTCCGAAGTCTAAAGCGGGGTGCACACTGCAAGATAATCAGGCTGATTTTAGGCCTGATTTCTCCCCTTCTGACAAAAGTAAGCAAAATCCAAATTGCAATTAAGACAGTTTGCATGATTTTCCTGCAATTTTTGATAAGTCAAAACAAAAAATTGTCCTATTTTGGCTGCCTAGGATTTCTATTTTGGTTGCCGTGGTATCAAAACAGGTATCCATATTGTTAAATCTTTTCTAGTATCTTATCAGAGTTTAAAAATTCTGACTCGTCCATATGCTGCCAATGTCAAAATGATTCAAAATGTTTTTTTGAATTTGCACAGTTGTCTTTTTTTTTTCTTCTAATGCACATCGTCAAAGCAGCTGCAGCATGTTTTGCTTCTGCTGCTTACTGCACGATGAAGTCTGAACATCACTTTAAATAGCTGACAGATGCATCATGTAAGCCTCCATCTGCAAACAACAAAACAAAACAAAAAAAAAACGAAAACCCAGCTCAGATTAATTAGCGTCTGCAGAGTTTGTTTTGCCCGGTAACGGAGAGCGCTGAGGTTTTTCATGCTGCCACAGAGAAGAATGCAGCAAACAAGAGGCATTGTGTCTTGAGTCACACACACTGTGTCATGAATGTGGCCACAACACCGCACACACAAAACACATGCTTGGGCTGCCACGAAGCAAAGAATGTGTTTTTTGTTTTTTAACATCCTCATCCAGGTTTGGCCGAGTACGAGGAGAAAGATAAAATATACTCTGAGCCCGGTGTTTAGTGAAGGCTGTAAATTGTTTCTGACAGGTCGTCGGCCGTCTCCCCTGCACAGTCGTCTTCAACACATCTGTCTGTGCAGCTTTTCACACTCACACACAAGAGACTAAAAGAAGCTTGAAGACTTTTTAAAATGTATTCATCTCACCTGATCAAACACTTTATATTCAAACGTATCTGATGACATCAAATATGTTTCACCTCAGCCTCCTCTCAGGGGCACAGCTGGCGGGCCCCCTAGTGGAGGGGAGCAGCCGGTGTTTTCAGAGTTGAACAAAACTTTTTTATCTCTTTCAGCCTATCAGATTGAATTATACGGCTCCTGCAGTGAACATGATGTGAAGATATGAGGCTAAAAACCGTCTGGGAGAGTCTGCCGGGGTGCCAGATGTTATCTTATCTGCTGTGTGTGATCACAGTTCTCTGATGAAAGAGAAAAAAAAAAACCTCTTTCTGTTGAGTTAATTTTGAGTGCATGCCGTCATCGATGTTGCAGCTTTTTTAGTATTTGACCGGTGGAAGTGGAGGGGAAAACAATCAGTGACATCATCACACCTCTGCTAGTCCGGAGTTTTTTCCATATTCACACAACTTCTGAACATTTCTAGAAAATCTCCAGACATGAAATTGAAGAGTCTCCCTGAGTTGCTCTTTCACTCATGACCCTTACAGTGGGAGGTTTCCCCTCTCAGACAATCAATCAATCAAACAAACTTTATTTATACAGCACCTTTCAGACAAATTGAATTGCAGTTGAAGAGTGCAGAAAAGTTATTGAGGAAAAAGTAGTTTATAAAATCATTGAGAGACTAATGCACACCAATAAGAATTTAAAAAATATGTATACAAATGAAAAAATAAAATACGACACATAAAAGCAATAAGATATTAAAATTAATTCATAGGAGAAGAATATTTAAAATTATAGTAGGATTAAAAAAGACATTACAATAATGTTAAGATTTGATTTGATATAAAAGTCAGACTGAATAAATGAGTTTTAAGACTGCGTTTAAAATCTGTGTAGAGCCAATTCATAACTCAATTCCTAACTAGTGTTAGCGAGCGCTTTTACAGAAGAGCATATGGGATAATATGCAGGAAGGATTTCTCCGTTGTGTTCCTCTCGTTCCTGTTGTCCACACTTCCTCTCCGCTGAGGTGGAGGTCGGAGCAGGCCGTGCATGAATGAGGACGGGGGTGGTTGTGGGGACGACTCAGTCCGATGGTGACAAGGTGACAGGTCAGGTGGCAGGACTATAGACTTTATAAAACATGGACGTAGTCTCAGTGACGTCAGACAGTGGTTTCTTAAGGGGCGTTATGAAGCCCAACGATGGCATTCACCATATTGAACATGAGGACTCCAACTGACTTTGATCAATGTAGAAACATCAGAGAGGTGGAGCTGATGGGCAAACAGCTACATCGTGCCTGTCAGTCAAGTATTCAAATGTATCCATAACTCTTATTAAGCCTTAATATGATCAAAAAATGTGATATAGAGATCAAAACGTTTTTTTTGTTTGACTAGGCTCAGTGGCGATTCTAGAGTCTGTTGGGGCCCGTCATGTCTGCCAGTGTCTCGACGCTTACTCCTCTTCCTCTCTCATCCCGTTTCTTTTTTCTCTCCTGTAGACGGATCATTCCTGTTCATGTTTTCTTTGTTGACTTTCATCGACAAACTTTGGTTTTTCACAGCAATGCTGCATGCAACGCTAAGCAGGGCAACGAGAGTGAGTGCTGTAAGATGGGCCCCCCCTTAGGGAGGTTTCCTACTGTTTACATTTGTTCAGACTAGCAGAAAACTCCTGAAAAGAATGCTGATATATCCCTGGAGGAGCTGTGTGTGTGAACGCAAAGAGCCACATTTTTCACTCTGACTTCATGTGAGAACACAGCAGGATATTATCAGGAAAATTCACCTCGAGCCAATAGGAGGGGGGGAGTGACATTTATATCCCTCCGCTACTTATGCGTCTTTTTTATGTTATGTATTACCTTAGGAGACCCCCCCGCCCCCCCCCCCCTCCTGTCCTGTCTGACAGGGTAAGTGTCCCGCTGTGAGGAGCATAATGTGAACAACATGTCAGGAGACTCTCCAGAACAGTCCTCCTGAAATTTTCTAGAAATTTACAGGAGTGCATGTGTGAAAGAGGTTATAGAGCGGAGAAGGAAGACAGTTAGTGTCAGTTCTATTGTCTGTTACTGGCTGTGCTTTACTTTAATTTTCTGTGTGTGTGTGTGTGTGTGTGTCTATTGTCCTCCTAAAGGAAGCGATGATAGCACGCTGGCGTCACAGGAAGTTAAGCCTTTCTTACCTCACTTCCTGTAAGACAGCTGAGCGGTGCTGTTGGTTGGGATTGCAAGCTACAGGTGGTGTGATAAACGAGTGTGGTGGTGGTGGAGAGGGGCGGAGGGGTGGAGGGGCGGAGGGGCGGAGGGGCGGGCGGGGGGGTCTCACAGACAGACCGGCAGCCCACCAGCTGTGCCCCAGCAGTGTTGTCTGTGCAGGAATGGGAACGTGGCCAAACACAACATCAGCCAGCAGCAGCAGCAGCAGCAGCAGCAGCGGGGCTCCTTCCACTCGCATCACAGCAGCGGATCTCTTTGAGCTGCGTGCGATTGTCCCGAGGCAGATGGAGGTCCTAGATAGGCGCCCGCAGCGGCCAGACACACACGTAAACACACACGTAAACACACAATATTTGTATCCAGCAAGCAAGTGGAGACAAACAAAAGCACAATTGGATCGCTTCATGTTTGATTCTTGGATTAATATAACTGTTAATCTTAGCAGATTTCAGACCCCATCATGTTTTTAGAGGCATGGTAGATCAACTTTTAAAGGTTTTGTTATTGCTCACCTTGGGGAAAAATCATACTAAGGGTGCCTGTTTAAAAAATTACCAACCAACGATTATGAGGAAACCTGCAAGAGAAAAAAAAAAGTTTGAATAAAGGACAATGGGAATCAAAGCTGTGGAGTCCCACATGAAATCCTTAGAGCACCAACGCTATACTCAGTGCAAAAATGATATGAATTTGACTTTTTGGGGTCTTTAAAAGGTCGTCCAAAGTGTGCAGCAGCACCGAAGAGCTAAGAAAAGACTTCAACTAATTATATTTCAAGGGGAGAAAGGACCTTTAATTATAACTTTAAAGTAAATATGTGTAAATTATGTAAATATTGAACTGTTGAGGGTCTGTTACGGTGAAAAAAATCATCTCTTCTCAAAAGTGGAATATCAGTTACGGAAATAAGAAAAGGAGGTCAAAACAAAGGCAGAGTGTGTCAGAAGTTAATGTGTCAACCAGGCAACCCTTTAACCTGTGTGTGTATGTGTGTGTATGTGTGTGTGCGTGTGTGTGGGTGGGTGTGTGTTTTGTGGTGGGGGTTAGATCCCTGTGGAGACAGAATGGGAGGGAGGGGAAGTCAAAGGGAGTGGCTTGTTGGTACTATGTGTGTTGTGTGTGTGTGTGTGTGTGTGTGTGTGTGTGTGTGTGTGTGTGTGTGTTGTTGGTGGTTGTGTGTGTAATGTGGTGTGTGTGAGGGAGCAGAGCGTCAGAATAGCGGACGTCCTGACTCCGAGAGAGAGAGAGAGAGAGAGAGAGCGAGGCAGGCGGTTCAGGAGGTAAATGTCATTCTGAGTTTTCTCCTGTCGTGTGTCACAGCTTCTCTCTTGCTCTCTTCAAAATTTTCTTTTTTTTTTTGAAGAATGGGACGTACCTGCTTCTCTGTTGACCTTTAAGGTTTGTTTACATCAGGCTTTATTTGTTTTTCATCAATCTGACAGTTTAACTCTGAGGATGAGGATTAAGCTATGGATCAATCAATGACATAAGATGTGATACACTTTGACACTTCGGTTCTTTTTGATGCTGTGTGTTTTCAAATGATCCATTCTTTGTTTCGTTAATGTTTGAAAGGTATCGAAAAGGAACAGAAGCTTAAAAAAAACGACAGATCTTCAATCATATTTTTAACTTAACGCTGTCAATACGATCGATACCTCATGATGATAATTAAGGTCGTCAATATGTTCCATACTTTTGATAATCAGTGGTGTCGAAAAAGTACATCAGCTTTAAAAAAAAAAAAAAAAAAAAAGTCCGATTTTTAACCAAAAGCTTTTTCCAGAGAAAAAAAAGATAGAGAAAGCTCTGTCTAAATTTCACAAATCCGATGGCAACGTTCTTGT